AGTTTTGACTCATCCCTCTCTTTTCTTCTCCTCAACCGTCGCGTGGCCTTCACTCGACCAACCATGGCCGCCGACGAATCGACCCCAACGCCTCCCTCCGTCGGGCCCCTCATGACGGACGAGAAGCTCGCCCACGGCATCAGCGACAAGCCCGCCGGCGACGTCGCCAACCCGGACGTCGAGACGGGCCAGTCCGACGAGGGCCTGAAGCGCGAGCTGCACTCGCGCCACCTGCAGTTCATCGCCATCGGCGCCGCCCTGGGCACGGGACTCTTCCTGGGCATCGGCGGCGCCCTGTCCAAGGCCGGCCCGGGCTCGCTCTTCATCTCGTTCCTGTTCCTCGGCTCCGTCGTCTACTCCATCATGACGGCGCTGGGCGAGATGGCGTCGTACATCCCCGTCACGGGAGCCTTCACCGTGTACGCCTCGCGCTTCATCGACCCGACGCTGGGCTTCGCCATGGGTTGGATCTACTGGTTCAGCTGGGTCATCACCATTGGCCTCGAGCTGACGGCCAGCGGCCTCATCATCCAGTACTGGACCGAGTCCGTCAGCATCGGCGTCTGGATCGCCATCTTCTGGGTCGTCTTCACGGCTGCGCAGTTCCTGCCCACGTTTGTCTTTGGCGAGATGGAGGCGTACCTGTCGAGCATCAAGGTCATCACCATCATCGGCTTCGTCATCTTCGGCATCTGCGTCAACGCGGGCGTCGGCGACCAGGGCTACATCGGCTTCAAGTACTGGCGCGAGCCCGGCGCCTTCGCCGAGTACATGGTCGACGGCGCGATTGGCAAGTTCGTCGGCTTCTGGACGGTGCTCGTGACGGCGGGATTCAGCTTCCAGGGCACGGAGCTGGTGGTGGTCGGCGCGGGCGAGACGGCGAACCCGCGCACGGCGATCCCGTCGGCCATCCGCTGGACCTTCTGGGCCGTGTTCCTGCTCTTCAACTGCACCGTCTTCTTCGTCGGCATCAATGTGCCCTACGACAACCCGGACCTGCAGAACGGGTCGACCAACGCGTCGGCGTCGCCGCTCGTCATCGTCGCCAAGCTGGCCGGCATCCAGGCGCTGCCGTCCATCATCAACGCCGTGCTGCTGACGGCCGTCCTGTCCGCCGCCAACTCGGACATCTACTCGAGCAGCCGCATCCTCGTCGCCATGGCCGGCGAGGGCCACGCGCCCGCCTTCTTCTCCCGCACAAACCGCTACGGCACCCCCTACTGGGCCGTCGCCTGCTGCTCTGCCTTTGGCCTGCTGGCCTTCCTCAACCTCAGCAATAATGGTACTGTCGTCTTCAACTGGCTGCTCAACATCACCGCCGTCGCCGGCTTCATCAGCTGGGCCCTGATCAATCTGTGCCACATCCGCTTCATGCGCGTCCTCAAGTACCAGAACATTCCCCGCGACGAGCTGCCCTACAAGGCGCCCTTCCAGCCGTACCTCTCGTGGTTCGGCTTCTTCTTCAACGTCTTGATTCTGTTGACCAACGGCTTCACCGTGTTTATCGACTGGGACACGAGCACCTTT